TGCAGCCCCGCCTCCGTTTTTCAGATGTCTCCGTTTTCCCCCATCCACACTGAGACGGAGCAGCAGCGTTTTAGAATGAAAACGACCTCTCCAGCATTTTCGAAATGCTCCGTTTTCCGGCGTAGTGTGGCCGTATGGCGTAACCGTAGCAAAACTTATGCGTTTTAAAACGAAAACGAATTAGTGTAAACGGGGCCTGAGTTGCATTCTGGCCCACCTCTTCCAACTGGACCAGGGCTGGCCAACTTAACAACCCCCTGGCATGGCACAAAACACTCCCACTTGTTAAATAAACCGGGATAAGTTTGGATAGCTTAGTCTTAGTACACCCTAATTTCATTATGTTCTATAATTTGTACATGTTAATGTGACATTTGGTTTTCATGCTGTTATCCTATTTTTTAATCTGTTGCCACAACTACAATCCCCTATAAACTGTTCCTACATAGACATGTTATAAACATACAAAAAATATTTTTTCTTTATCCAAATACAACTAACACCTGATGATTAACATGAAGAGACAAATTTTTGATTCAGAATATATACTTCACGTAGACTTGTATTTAAATACATCAGTTTAGAAAATGTATTATTTTCACACTCTTAAGTTTGTGTGTTTGAGTGGTGCATGTGTGTGCAAACACAGTGTTTTAGAATAGGCTTTAAAAAGTTCTCTATAAATAGACTGTGGTTGTTTATTTCCCAGTAAGTGTAGACTTCCTGCATACATTTGTCACTTTGTGTTAGCTTGTTTGTTGAGTTTGTGACTAGTCTTAGCTCTGTCTTCACAGTTCAGCAAATTTAGATAAACTCTAGCACCTAGATATCATAGTTTAGATACCGTGTTTGTTCCATCAAACAGTGTATGTAAATATAAATAGGGCCTTGGCAAATGCAAGCAGGCACTTTCACGTATGGTCTTATCTTATGTTATTGAAGCATGATGTTAAATGAACCACCACCTTATTGTGGTGGAGGGTTTGAGTGCCTGAGTGATCCTAGAGCTATGTTGTCAGGGGCTAATGCCCTTGGTATGTGACAAGTCAGACTAAGAGCAATTCAAAAACCCCCTATGATTAGCAAAACATCAAGGACCGTGACATTGCCCGGAATGATGCATGATGCCAACCTAGAAGCCAGGACTGGGGCCTGGTTTCATCCCAAAGGAGTGGCAGGATGACCCATAAGGGGTAGGTGCATTGTGAAATGGGTGGTGGTCAAACGTCAGAACTATGACGACCCTATCGTCAGGCACATAATCTAACCCTTGGAACATGGAATTTCCTCCCTCTGAGAAGGAAGGAGCCTGAACTTGTGCTGGAGGTTAAACGGTACTGACTAGAGATAGTTGGGCTCACCTCCATGCACAGTTTGAGAAGGGCTGGACTTTTTCTTCTCTGGAGTTGGCTGACTGGTGTGGACTTGCTATAGCTTCCTAACTCAACCGTCATGTGTTGGAGTTTTCCCTGTTGAAAGAGAGAGTCACCTACCTGCACTTTTGGGTCAGGGGTTGTCATAATTCGACTTCTTATCAGTTAGAAATGATCAGACCGGAGGTTTTGAATATCAGAAAATAGACTTTATTCTCCAAAATAAAGCCGAGAAAGAGCAGAGCAGACCTCGTAGCATTCTCCTCCTGTTCCTAAAGTTTCTGTGTGTTTCCAAAATCTTTATACAGGTTATTTGACACACTCCTAGGTGTCTCTTTTTAACTCTTGACCATTTTTGAATAGGTTTCTAGTCTAAGGGGTCCTGCTATTCTTGGCTCTCAGCCCACTAGCTCATGTCAACAGAGATGTTACAGGACTATGTCAGCAAAATATAGATGCAACTTATGCACAGGAACCAAGTGTTTACATACGTTGTCATGATAACATAATCACTTGATATGTTACTCATTCTAACTTCTGACACATATAGCTTCATACAAGTATTTAACATATATAATCAGTGCTTTACATATTCAGTTATTCTACACAATCTTCTTCAGCATAGCCTTCTCCTAGTGTTGCTCCTGGGCAGGCATACTCATCTTACACAGACATATCACTGTATTTTTAACACAGGCTGGCATGTTTGCTGCAAACACTACATACATTTTGAGAAGAGAAAATTAACTGCTTTACACTTAGAAAATACTTCACACAGAGAGAATAAAATCTTCTTCAGGGTAGGTCTCACATTGAAGTTTGTGCCGACGGGCCAAACATCAGTGCAGAGTACCTGGCCTTCTTGCGAGGGGTGCTGGAAGGTGTTTCCAACTGGGTACTCTATTGTTCTACCGGGGCACTTCAATGCCCATGTGAACATTGACAGTGATACCTGGAGAGGTGTGATTGGACAGAATTACCTACCTGATCTAAATTAAAGAGGTGTTCTGTTGTTTACTGTTCCTGCTTCCATCTGCTGATGGTAGCACCTCTACCCATCTATTAAATATATTAATTTAAAAAAGCATGTATTTTCTATCTCGAACTTGTTTTTTCATATCCACATAATTTACTAAATACTTGAATAGTCCCTTAGATACTGGAATGTGTACAGGTGTTGCTGTTCCTTAAAGCTTATATTTTGCATATAACCTGCACATGGACAAAATTTACTGACCATTGCATTTAAATAAGAATACCTATAATTTTGTTTATCATTTGATCAGAATAATCTGTCTCTGCAACAAGAACATTTAGAAGTGTCGCTGGTGCAATATTTGTCCTTCATGTGTATGCCAAATATATTATGCTTGTTTTTGTTGTTAAAAAAGTTCTATTTGTTGGTTAAGCCATCTAATTGAGGCTGTGGCTCTTGAAATACTACTGGTGTTAGAACTGTCTCCTCACATCCTGTCACCTTTTTAGCTTCTAAATCTGCAACCTCGTTTCCTTTACTGACAACCTAATTTCTTTTTCATCATCTAAAAGAACATTATTGCATCTGTTTCCCATGTCAATGGAGTGCCTAATTTTTGCAGTCCTTCCCATTTCATAATTTCTTAATGGTCAAGGTTCTTACACCTTTTCCAACTTCAAATTCCAGCGCTTTTAAAGCACTTTCAAGGTGCATTTGCATGCTTTTCCAGCACCTAATAACCATGGTTAATTACATTTATGCATGTTGTATGTACATGAAAAAAAGAAGAATGAGTTCATCAGACGCTGGATTCGAATCGAGTTCACGGTCCTTTACATCGCACTATTTCTTTTTTAGTCCACTCAGTGCGATGTTCAGACCCAACTGTGTTAACCGCGTCAGCTAAACTCTGCCACTCTATCCTTTTCTTTTGTTATTAATTTCAGAGGACAAACTTGCAAACAACACAGTTTTTCTCCGGTTTACCTCCGAAAGCAGCACCTCCAAATCACATTCTGTTCAAAGTTTCTCTTCTTGCTTGCTTTTGCCATTGCTTTTTTGTTGGGTTTTGCCAAAGTAAAGTCATTAGCATATTCATACGGGGGAGGAGGCAGGGAGGGGTTTTGCACTTAGTTTCACGTTCATTCGGATGTACAAAGAGAATATGCGTGGGATTCGGCGTACGCAGTGTTTCATACATCGGAATTTTTTACTGCGTACGCACATTTACAGCTTTGTGCGTATGCAATGTTTTGATTCAACGTACATGAGGCCCCAGGTGTTCATCAATGGTTCTCAGTAACACTCAACTGGTTCTCACTGTAAATAAAGCCTCAGAGGCTGGAATGACATTATGAAATAAATATATCAAATTGTATAATAGCTAAACTAAAAAGTACTTATAATGAAACAGATTTATTGTTGTAGATTGTAGATCAGGCACTATGTGGGCCTGGTGAGGGCTGCCCATGCAGGGCCAGCACTAAGGAGTCAATGGTTTGCCAGTTCTCAATGGTCCCTTTTCACACTTCAGCATTTGTGCTGTGTGCGTCCTCATAGTTTGGTAAACAGGGCGAAGGCTACTGCTGACGTGTATACTTGGGTCGTGTGAGTTTGGGCACCCCTGATCTAATTTTATCACATGGAACTTGAGGTTCTGATTTAAATATTGTACCTCGAAGTGATGATGAAGTGCTCACTACATCTTAATATATAAGCAGTGCATAGCTGAGATTAGCCAAGTTGCACCAAGTTATCAACCTGATAGAACTTTCATCCTGTCCACTAAATACAATTCACAGCTTACTTACCTGATCTTTCTCAAATTGTTTGTGCAACCGCAAATGAATACAATCTTGATGTAGTAACTAGCAGCATGGATGTCTCAACTAAGACATTTATTACCGTTACCCCCCTTAAAATAATAAGACTAGAGAGAAAAAAACTGCATAATAGTATAACAGTCATCTGCCAGGGCTGCAGCTTCACAAACAAATGGAAAATAACCACAAAATTTTTTTTTTTTTTGTTTAACACCATTGCTAGATTAACAAATAACTGGTTGATAACTAGAGATGACTTTGTCATTTTCTATTTTATTTGAATTTTCTACATGATTAAAATCTACTTGAGATGTATTTAGATTTTTAAACTAACTTATCTCTTATTGGTCTCAGAGGGCACATTTCTGACCGACACTGTAGCCAGCTGAATCGAGTTCTCTTTTACCCGGTCTCTCATACACAAATACATGCATCTAAACGTGCATGTTTCATGCACAAACACACCTTTTAAATGTAAAAAAAACTATTAACAACTAGAAGGCAATGGAAAAGTGGTTGTTCTTTGCACCCCATGGTGGAAAATGTTTTTTTTTTAAATAAAAAGGTGGCATTTGGAGCTGCAGTACTACGTGTGACTGCGCGTTCAGAAACGCGTATTCTCAGTAGCCAGATCTGAAGACTCATGATCATTAACTTTTCACAATAAAGTGAGACTGCTTATTAGAACATTTACTTAATTATTTAGTAATCTTACATGTGTTTGTTTACTTTTTGTGTAGTGACAAAATATTTAATCGCTGAAATATAAATTGAAGGTACTAATAAAGACATGTTCAATTGCTTGAAGTAAAACCAAAAGTCAATAGGAATGTTTCCAGAATTTATTCACTCGATGTTTTTACATTCATTTCTTTATGCATTTAACAGCAACCTTGCTGTGAAAGCTTCTAAAGAGCACACACAGAGGAGATGATATATGCAGAGTGTTGAAGCATCAAGCAGAGGGGCGGGGCGTACAGAACTTTGCAGCAGTTAAGAACAATTTATGTAATCACTCCAGGATACAAGCATCAAGAAACTGAAAAGAAGTGAATGAATGAACTTGTGCATGTTAGGGTCCCTGACAAATAGCAGGTTTATCTGAGGATTCCAGGCTTGGTGGTGGGTCTATTTTCATCAGTATTGCCTTGACTTCATTGTATTTTTGGTCCCATACCTCCTTGGAGTAAGAGGACGGACTGTCCTCCAGGAACGCGTAGGCATCTTTGGTTTGGAGCTTAAAGATTCCAGAAGCTTCCTGACAGCCTGCACCAAAACAGCTCCAAGCCTGTGACATTAAAACAATTGCAAAATACATTATTAAGCGATTAAATAAGAGTAGGAAACATTTCAGAATATCTTACAGATTTGTTTTTAACAATCTTTACCGCTGTTGCTATTTCGATCAATTTAATAAAATAATCTTTAAAATCGACAAGGTCATCGACATAGTTTTCTCCAGCAAAGGTATTTTGTTCCAGGGACTTAAGCAGTTCAGCAACTCTCTCCCAGAAGTTTTTCAGCTGAATCATAATTGATTGAATTTTTGTCAAGCCACTCTGCACATCTTTTAGATGGATGGGGTCGGGTATGGAAGCTGCAGAGGGGGAAATACAAACATATTTGAACAAGTCCCTCCTCATCTTCAGAATTTGGCACACGGCTTGTCATACAGGTTTACTTTAGACATGAAAGATAGTAAGCTTAAAGGACTCACATCGGTCAAAATTGGCTCTGGCAGCCTTCATCTGCCAGTCAATGATCAGAAGCTGGAGCTGCCACTGCTTTTGTTTGGCAGCAGTTTTATCAGCAATCAGATTATTCAGCTCAGCTTCAAGACCTTTCAGTTTTGCGATATTTGTAGGCTCTTTTACAGCATCATATATGCTTTTGACGAGTGGCCCAACAAATGGCACAATTGCAGCAAAGATGCCAAGGCCTGTGCTGGTTTGGCTTATGGATTTGGCAAAGTCTTGAATCTCTTGACTTTTCTCGTTTATTTTTTTCTCAAGTTGATCGATTTCTTCACTGACTTTTTGGAGCTCCGTCTTCTGGTCTTCCAGAGCGGCTTCAGTCGCCGTCTTCTCTTGAGCTTTTTCTGCAATGTTCTTGTCTGTGTTTGATTTTTCAGCGACAACATCACTGGTGGCCGATGATATATCTTTGTTATGTAAATCATACCTAAAGAGAATGAAAAAAAAGTTGTTTATTGTATATAATTACAATTTTGTGTAAGAAAGTCTTTTTATTTAGATAAAAAAGTTTTTTTTTTTTTTCAGATGACTGTAGCAGTTGCCTGTAGAGGATCAATTTAATAATTTTGAGTATTTTAAAGTAATTTTTTTTTGCTTTTGAAAAATGTACTTACTTTTCTACAATCCTGTCCACATCTGTGATGATGTCTTTGATCCAGGTTTGTGCCTTTGCCAGGTGTTTGACCGCCAAAAGTGGCTTATTTTTGTCTACAGCTGCTATCAACATGGGAAACAGCAACTGAACCAGGTTGTCACTGGTCAAAATGCACTGCAAGAAAAACGAGACACAAGATCAGTCATGTTGTGTAGACACTTCAGGGGCGTAACGGAAAACAAACCACTCTCTGTTACTCTGCTATACTGTCAAAAATGAAAATACTCAAATTAAAAGAAAATCTGAAACAGTACTTTGAATAAGATTGCATCAGAGGACCCAAAGAGAAGCTGAGTTTCCACAGCCCGACTCCTGATGATCTTCTCCAGGGTGGGGAATTTGGCCAGGCACAGGTAAGAGAGATGGTACAGATGAGCCGTTTTTTCAGCCGCAGGGAGAAGGTCTTTTACAAAGGAAGGGCTCCACTGGGCCACAGCCACTGGTAAGAAACAAAAACAACTAGTTTATATTTGTACAGACTAAACAATATTTCTTCATTGGCTGTCATTATTTTAGAATCTGTAAGATGAATAAGTTACTACTTACCCTTGCTATCAGCCATCTTCAGTAGGTTTACACAAAAAGTGTGTGCAACAGGTTCTCCTAAAATGTACTGGAAAAGCAGAACAATTAAGGATGCTTGGAAAAATCTCACACATCTGACAATGATTACAGAAATGCTGGATGAAACGGATCTACCTTTTTTAGTAAGTGATACAGAGAACAAGGTAAGTGGTGTTTTTATACTGAAGAAGTGCATGGATGCTCCCAACACCCACACAGAAAAATGTATAGCAAAGAAAGTTAGGATCTTTCCTGTTTTGACACACCGACGTTCCCACGGCATGCAAATGTGGCACGAATCCAACTTTTCCCCCTCATGTGACTCAGGTAATCGCAGTCTTAACAGCCCAAACCGCATGGAATCTGATCTTTTCAGGTCAGATCTGTGCCACTTTCATATGTAATCAGACACAGATCAGATGCAATGAGACCGCAGTGTGAACGGTTGTGTTCACACTGCAAACCTGATATTGGCCACATTTATATGTGAACAGCCATGCAAAAACATCAGATCTGAGAAAAAAAAAAATCTGATTTGAGCACTTAAGCCTGGTTTATACTTCTGCGTCAAGTGACCGGCGTGACCCACGGCGCATGCAACGCGCGTAGTTGTGCATTTATACTTCTGCCCGCTGTCTCTGTTGGTCTGCATTAACACTCCCGAAACGCTAGTTGGCAGTGAGGTGTAAATGTTCCTCTGTGTCGAGTTTCTTCTCTGCTCTTTTGTTTTCCTGAACACTTCCTGGATGTACAAGTGGCTCAAACTCGCTCATTTTGAGGCAGGAACTGGCGGACGTGCAACAACTTTAACTATGAGGCAAACACAAAACAAAACTTTCCATCAGGAGCTCCTTCACGGGACTCCACACTTGTAAACAATCGCTCCATTGGGCTCGTGTCCAGCTCGTGCCATTCGCGCGGCTCTTGGTGCCGCCCAGACTCGTCAGCGCTATCAAGCCGACTAATCACAGAGCTTATGCTATGCGTCGTTGCGACGTGTAGTTACAATTTTTGAGAGGTGCACGTCAGCGACGGCCATGGCGAAGGGCTATGCGTCAGCGCCGTAGCAATAGAGGTAAAGTTGGTTTTATATTCACACATTCGTTCATTTAGAAGTCTATATATTGTTTACAATGTTACTTTGAATATTCGAGTGGAATTAGCATGCAAGTATGACTTGAAAACAACATTAACACTGTTTATTTGACTGTGAACATTGTTGTACTTTGATAGTCATTAGCTGCTTATATGATTTCGCTATTTAGATTTTGCAAATAATACTTTTATGAAATTATATTATTAAGGGGAAAGTCTGAATGTGTAAATATAAAACGTTCGAGGTTACAGAAGTAACCCTTCGTTCCCCGAGGAGGGGAACGGAAGTGCCATGAATGGGAGGATTCGGATCAGAAGCCGCTTATCTGGAGAGTATTGAACGGGCCAATGAATGAAATTAATTGGCAGCGTAAGCTTGCGCAGGTGTGCGACATCTGCAATTATCTCAGCATATAAGCACACCTGAAGCCAGCAGACGCCATCCTTTTAAGCTGAAGAGACTTTCAAACAGCTAAGGGACAGTCATTATGGCGACGGAATATGGCACTTCCGTTCCCCTCCTCGGGGAACGAAGGGTTACTTCTGTAACCTCGAACGTTCCCCTTCGGTTGGGGAACTTCAGTGCCATGAATGGGAGAATATGGAAAGCGCCATAATGACTGCACCTTACCAACACCCCCGATGAGGAGATAGTCAAGCAAGCGTGACGCACCCACATCATGGGGGGCGCGGTCCTCCAACGTGTCCCTGGCCCTAATTTATCCTACTTCAACAGAAGTTTTACGGATTTAGATATATTTTTTGGGAAGTCGTGAGCATCTAGATAATTCTAGGAAATACGACAGTACGTTGGGAAGCGTGCAATCCCGATAGGGAGGACGCTGCGGAGGCCATCCGTTACCCAAGGGGGGGATAGATGGCAGAATTTACCTATGGACTAGCCCTAAAAAGGGGGAGTACGCATAGCAAAGAGTGGTTAGCGGAGAGGGAAGACACGGGTCCGCCCAGGGGGGGGACTTAACCGTGGCGGAATAAGCATATGGGATCGCCTAGTGGGGATCACGCATAGCAGGCACCTATACCCAAAACGCGGACTGACCAGCGGGCAGACCTACAACGTAGTGGGCCAGCAAGTGACTCCTCCGCTGAGTCAGTGCTGGGGGCCACGGAGGAATCTGCAGGGCTCACCTGACGGGGAACTTTACTGACAGATAAAAAAGGCGCACGTACCTCCGTGTTAGGGAGAATGGCGCAGCAAGCGTGTTTCAACACCCTACCGAGTTGTCTCCTCAATCACCAAAGGGTTACCTAATACCCTTGAGGAAACCGGCTCCACTCGCAGATTGTAAAACCTTGCAAATGTGTTGGGTGTCGCCCAGCCCGCAGCTCTACAGATGTCTGTTAGAGAGGCGCTGCGTGCACGCGCCCAAGAGGATGCAACGCTCCGAGTGGAGTGTGCACGTACTCCCGGGGGACACGGCTGACCTCGACTCAAATAAGCGAGTGAAATGGCATCCACAATCCAGTGGGATAATCTTTGTTTTGATACGGCACTTCCCTGCTGCCGACCGCCATAACAGACAAAGAGCTGCTCAGATGATCTAAAATTCTGAGTACGGTCCACATAAATGCGCAGAGCGCGAACTGGACAAAGTAAAGAAAGGGCTGGGTCTGCCTCCTCCGGGGGCAGCGCTTGCAGGTTCACTACCTGATCTCTAAAGGGGGTGGTAGGAACCTTGGGCACATAACCGGGGCGGGGTCTCAGGATAACGTGAGAGTAATCCGGCCCGAATTCCAGGCACGAGTCACTGACCGAAAATGCCTCCAGGTCCCCGACCCTCTTGATGGAGGCCAACGCAACCAGCAGAGCTGTCTTCAGGGACAGAAATCTTAGAGATACTGATTCGAGTGGCTCAAAGGGATCGGATCGCAGACTCGTGAGAACGAGGGCGAGATCCCAAGAGGGCATGAGAGGGGGGCGAGATGGATTAATTCGCCTAGCACCCCTAAGGAACTGGATGACCAGGTTATGCTTTCCCACGGTGCCGCCAGCTACCGCGCTATGATAAGCGGAGATGGCGGCCACGTAAACCTTGAGAGTGGAGGGCGACAGCCTGCTGTCCAACTTCTCTTGAAGGAAAGAGAGCACAACACTAATCTGGCAATTTCGGGGGTCTTCTCTGCGAGAGACGCACCATTCAGTGAATAGACTCCACTTCAGGGCGTAGGCGCGCCTCGTGGAGGGGGCTCTAGCCTGAGTGATGGTATTAACCACCGCAGTCGGTAGGTTACCTAAGTCTTCCTCGCGTCTAGGGACCACACGTGGAGGTTCCAAAGATCGGGGCGAGGGTGCCAGATGGTGCCCTGTCCCTGAGAGAGTAGGTCCTCTCTCAAAGGGATCCGCCAGGGGAGGGCCGTCGCGAGGAGTGAGAGCTCTGATATCCAGGTCCGGTTGGGCCAAAGGGGCGCAACTAGCAGAACCTGTTCCTCGTCCTCCCTGACCTTGCACAGAAACTGCGCGAGCAGGCTCACTGGGGGAAACGCAAACTTGCGCATGCCCCGAGGCCAGCTGTGGGCCAGTGCATCCGTGCCGAGAGAGCCCTCGGTCAGGGAAAAAAACAACTGGCAGTGAGCGTTCTCGGGGGAAGCAAACAGATCGATCTGGGCCTCCCCGAATCGCGCCCATATCAGCTGAACAGACTCGGGGTGGAGTCTCCATTCTCCAGGGCGTAACAGCTGTCGTGAGAGCGCATCGGCTGCACGATTGAGCGTGCCTGGGACGTGAATGGCGCGCAGCGATTTCAGCCGCGGGTGACTCCAGAGGAGCAGACGGCGGGCGAGCTGAGACATGCGGCGAGAGCGCATACCCCCCATGCGGTTGATATACGCCGCCGCCGCCGTACTGTCCGTCCTGACCAGCACGTGTTGCCGCTCCAGCACCGGTAAAAAGCGGTGGAGAGCGAGGAACACTGCCAACAGCTCTAGGCGATTGATATGCCAATGCAGCTGGGCACCCTTCCAGAGGCCCGCAGCCGCATGCCCGCGACACACGGCCCCCCAACCCATGTTGGAAGCGTCTGTTGAAACAACAACATGGCTGGACGCCTGTCCTAGAGGCACACCGGCCTGTAGGAACGAGGGGTCGTTCCAAGGGCTGAGGGCGCGGCGACACAGCGCAGTAACCGAGACCCGGTGTGTGCCCGCGTGCCATGCGCGTCTGGGGACCCGATCGTGAAGCCAGTGCTGAAGTGGTCTCATATGGAGCAACCCGAGCGGCGTGACGGCAGCTGCGGATGCCATATGCCCCAGGAGCCTCTGAAAGAACTTCAGTGGGACCACTAGTTTGCTGTCGAGCTCCCTCAGACAGTTCAGCAACAGGCGAGCGCGTTCCTCGGAGAGGTGCGCTACCATGGTGATCGAGTCCAGCTCCATCCCGAGAAAAGAAATCCTCTGCACGGGGGCGAGTTTGCTCTTTTCTCGGTTGACCTGAAGCCCCAGTAGGCGGAGATGCCGAAGCACCTCGTCCCTGTGCATAATCAATTGCTCCCGCGAGTGGGCTAAAATCAGCCAGTCGTCGAGATAACCGAGTATGCGAATGCCCGCGAGCCGAATGCCCGCGAGTTTGGTGAAGACCCGCGGAGACAGAGAGAGCCTGAAGGGGAGGACCTTGTACTGCCACGCTCGACCCCTTGAACGCAAACCGCAGAAATTGGCGGTGGCGTGGAAGAATGGAGACATGGAAATACGCGTCCTTCAGGTCTATGGCTGCAAACCAATCCCGAGGACGAACGCATTGGAGAATGCGCCTCTGCGTGAGCATTCTGAACGGCAGCTTGTGCAGACAGCGGTTCAAAACGCGCAGATCTAGGATTGGCCGTGACCCACCGCTCTTTTTGGGTACGATGAAGTATGGGCTGTAAAACCCACTCTCCATCTCGGCTGGAGGAACCGGCTCGATTGCACCCTTCGCCAGGAGGGCAGCAATCTCCTCTCGCAAGACAGGGGCGGACAGGGGGTTGA